GAAATACGAAAACGATGTCCTATCAAGGTAATGATAACACAGGTATCCAAAACAAGACAAAAGCAGAACACACAGGAGGGGACGTCCTTGGGTGCCACACATCAAGAGCCTTTCAGACATGTATGAACATGGCAGGCTCCTTATTACGACTGTGCTGCAGACCCCCTGATCTGACTCGAGCACAGGTGGGCCAGTTAATCAAAATGTCAGTGCGGAATCAGTGTTTCATGCAGAGGGCATGCAGAAAGGAGGTAAAGGGAAGAACTTGAGCCTGACCATGGATTTAAATCCCCTCTCTGTCAATGACCAGCTGGTGACTTAGCTTCCCTGTGCCCATGTCCCCATTGTAAAATGGATACAGTGATAGTTCCTACCTCATAGAATCTTAATGGAGATTAGATGGGCGAACACTGTAGAGATTACAGAATAGTATCTGATATGTGATAAGCACAATTCATTTATTAAATAGCATTTGATAAGGCCAAATATGCTTCTTTGCCTAAAGATCTTAATATTGGAGTACTCCAATAATTGTGTGTGTGTGTGTTTTGTTTGTTTTTTGCATCAAACACATGCTTTAAGCATTTTGTCTGATTTCTAGTTTTTGGTCTTCTTAACAGTGGAACAAGAATTTGAAGGCACCTGGGAGGCAATTTGCATGCAGAATACCTCTATACATAACACAGTTAGTATTTCCTGTTTCCCATATTGTTTTACCGTTAGACACCTATATTTCATTTGATCATGAACATTTATTTTTAGTGACTTGCCTTCCTAGCTACTTTTGAAGCACTCAACTTTGTTTTATAGAAATAGTTCTTTTCACATCATATTTCATTGATTTATATAGTAGTTAAAATACATAATTACCATGACATGTACTACTGGCATAAACATACTGAACTACAAATACAATCCATTCACAGTGAACATTCAACTCAACTTGTAAGAGCAGTAAATACACTTACTTTGGAAAAACCCACACAATTATATGATTTATAAGAGGAAGTTGTGAGTATTGGTTCATCTAGCCAGTAGGTTCAAATAAATTTAGTGAGAGATTCCAGTACCATTAAGATCATTACTTTTAGATTTCCTTTGTGATTCTGGCTTCTCTATTCTTTAGAATTTAGCTTAAATTCTTGATTTCCATATAAAGGGCCCTCTTAATCAGATTTGTTACTACACACAGTCCCAGAGATATCATTCTGAAAATTGGAATCAACAGAGAAGCTTATTGCCATTCTAAGGATTTTAATTTTCAGGTTAGGCTCTTTTTCTTTCCTCTCATGGACCTGGTTAGTTCCCTTTGTAAGTTTCTCAGAATCTGTCAACTGATCTTTAGAACTATCCCTTTTTCTTCTTCCTACAAGAGTTGCCTAATAATATCCATGCAATCTATTTTTCTGTAATTTTTAGGGACAAAAAATATGATGCTTATAAATTATTTTCTTTTCCACCATTTACGATGTATCTACTAAACTCACAATGGTTTCGTTCACCATCTTCTATGTTTCTCTGTAGGCGGATACGTTGGGTTATGGAGGACCATTAGGCTGTATACAGCCGGTGACCACTAATGCAGTTGTCTCACATTTGCAGAAAATGACTTAGAAACCTCTTCAGTCTGTGGACAGAAGCTATACAGTCTATAATATTTGGGACCAGGCACAGTGGTGAATTTGCCGTATCCACCAGCCACACCCTCAGGCAGACCTGGCTGGTCTGCATGCAGCACAATTCTGAAGCATCCACATTAAACAGGAAAATATAGAAGGAGAGGTGGAGGCATAATGTTCTCTTTGGGGTATGCAAAATAGCTCCCCAACTTGTAGAATAAATTTGTGTAATTTATTCATAATTCCATTCAACAGGTAATGACAGAGCTTTCATAGGCACAAAGCAAGCTCTGGCTGCTTTTCCCTTGGCCAGTGTTCCATATGTATCTGTGCCACCAGAAAATAAAGAGTCATGAGTCAAATACTAAACAGACCACCTGAAAAGCCAGCTATATTGTCTATGACTGTGAGCTGTATGGTATGAGAGGGCAGGCACCGCACTATCATTCTTCCTCACAGAACTAGTAACAGCCCATCCTTTACATTAGAATGGCTCCTGGAAGTGAGGATTTCTTGGGGAGGAATACGGAGTGTGTGGACTGAAAACACCCAATGAATAAACACCGAGTTCTTTTGTGAGCATACACACCTTACCCTGCCATTTGGATATGGATGTAAGAAATTTGTGTTGGCCAATGAAAAAGCTTAAATATCTATAGCACTTGTCTTGACTGTCGAAACAAACCATCGTAACTCAGAAACAGGGAGTACAAAAGCTTCAAGTTAAAACAGGAAAAACAGAAAAATTCATGAACATGCAATAGCTGTTAAAAATAATTATAAAATAGGATCATAATTATGAGAGAGGAAAAGAAATACAAGTTTTTACAGATGCGAGATTCTCTATGACCAACATTTATTGTAGTCTGGACTAGGAAACCAAAGAGATAACGATCTTTTTCCACACAATTTTGAGCCATAAATTATGAATTATGCTCTAACAGAGAAAGAAGAGAGGAAATTGATTTAAGAGATGAGATCTATTTTACAATTCAGAGAGTGTTTTATTTTAATTTGGGGGTGGGGGTGGGGATTACATTTGATGCTCAGCTTTACTGAACATCTTTCTTTCTCTGAAATGAATTGCAATTTTTTTTTTATCATTTTCCCGAGAAGTCCAGCAAAGATGTTTATGCCAAAGTTCAGAGGGTAAATTAGCAACACTGACTCAATCGTCTGGGAAAGTGCTGTCCTGTAGAATTTTCTTAAGATGATGGAGATGTCCTATAAAAGCCACTGACCAAATGTGGCTTTTCAACACTTGAAATATGGCTAGTTTGACATAGGAATTTCATTTAGTTTACTTTCAATTTCAACAGTGCCATGTGACTAGTGTCTACAGTGCTGGACAGGATAGTTTAGAGGATACCCCTCTCTTTATTCTTTCTTTCAGCCAATTAGGCCAGGCAGCTGGGGGGTTATTCTTTGTAAATTAATGTACCTTGCCCCTGTGAAACTTCACATGCTCTTTGCTAGCCAAGACTCAGAATGCTCTGAGCAAGGCTCATGGAACTTGTTTGAGCAAATATGCATATTAATAGGGTTAAAAAAAAAGCAAACAGCAAAGATCAGCCCTCCAGGCCCTTTTGCTAATTCATGTGTTTTCCTGCAGTCAAATATATTCTTGAGAAATTTTCAAAATCAGCCAATAGTTTTGATACCTTTGTAATTAGCTAGTTATTAATAACTAGAGGCCTGGTGCACGAAAATTTGTGCACTCGGGGGGCGGGGGGGGGGTCCCTCAGCCTGGCCTGCGCCCTCTCACAGACCAGGAGCCCCTGAGGGATGTCCGACTGATGGCTTAGGCCCACTCCTCCCGGAAAGTGGGCCTAAGCCGCAGTCTGGCCTCCCTCTGCAGGAGGCGACCCGCGGGCCGATCGATCGGGGGACACGCAGGATGGAGAGCAGCCGGCCCCACTCCCCGACTGACCCTCTACCACTGCCAGTCACCGCTGCCCCCTGACTGCCATCCCCTCCCTCTGCCCACTGGCACCCACCTTGACTGGCCTGGTGCCACACGCTCACTGGCCCTGCCCCCTGCCGACAGGTTGTTCCACTGTTCGGTCAATTTTCATATTAGGCTTTTATTATATAGGATAGTAAAGGACAAAAAGTCAGAGATGCATTTAGTTTGGGTGAAGCAAGAATGAAGTGAGGGCTTGAAAAGGCCACTGGAAACCTGCCCAGCCTCTGAACTAGAGGATTTCTAAATCTCTTGGGACATTCTGGTGCTAGGGCTGGGAAAGGCCAGACATTATAAGCATGGCCATCTGGGCAGCTTCACCAGGAAGCTGCAATTTCACACTCCCCAGGCAATCACAGGTCCATTTCCTGTAAATCACTGGGGGAAAGGGTCCAACAAAGGGAAGATGGATGCATCCACAGTGATGAAGGGGTGGGGCCAATGCAAGCCTGTGAAAATTTGGGATTACATAATCTACCAGACAAAGGAACTTACTCTCTTGGCTCTTGGCTCTTGTGGCTCTCTTGCATTTGCCTGTGTTCCTGGAAGTCACAAGGCCCATGGCCACAGACCCCACATGTAATGGACTGATGGACTACAGCTGGAAACACAATCTAAGCTAGCCTGATGCTGGCCTGGATTGTTCTCCAACATGGAATGGGAACTCGGAGAAACAGCTTTAATCCTGCCTCTGCTAAAGACACAGCTGGACTTCCTCTTTGGCAGGTGAAAGGAAATGGAACCTTGGAAACTCCGAGGTTTAATCCTACAGAAATGAAGCTTTCTACAATATCTCATCCATGACCGCGAGTCTCATAAAATTCTTCTTCTTGTGACATTGCAAGAAGCCCACTTCCACCAGCAACAGATGGGAATAGGGAGAGCTCTCCTTGGATAATAGTAACAGTTTGACTTTGTATGACTTTACATGCTATAAAAGTAAGTAACGGAAGAGTTTGGAGGGAGCATTTAGACAAAGAGAATCTGTAAAATGCTGAAGTAGAATATAGGGAGTCTTGTATTATGAGGAGGAATGAGAGAGAGAGAGAGAGAGAGAGAGGGAGAGAGAGAGAGAGAGAGAGGAGAAAAATCACAGGCATTACATAAAACTCTTCCTTGCTTATTATGGAATACAAGAACACTAATACCGGTCCCCCAAGTAGTCAATTATTTCCTGACTCCAGTCCATGATTTTGTTTCATTTACTAGAGGACGCCTTCTGGTTGTTCCTTTCACCATTTATTATTTGTTGATGCATTTCTTTAAATGTAGCTTTAAATAGTCAGAAATTTGAAAGACATTCAATTTAAATGACATAATATGGTTTTCCCATGGAGATAGTAAAAACTTTTGAACATAAGTAACTTCTTGTCAATAGCATTTCAGTAGCAAAGATTGTTTTCCACAAAAACACGTACCTGGAGGAGCAGGTCGGAGGCTGGCCTGAGTCGCTGCTGGAACAGGATACTTAACGTTCGGTTCTGTTGTTCCAAATCGAACACTCGTGTTTTCAACTTTACACATTCCTCCCTTAGATCCTACAACAAACACATTGAAAGGGGAAAAAGTCCATCACTGAAACATACCTTAGCATATTGGGACCATATTTTATCTGATATTTCAGACACATTAGTAAGAAAATATTCTTTTTGTTCTTCAAAGCCCCCAGAAATAAATCACACACAATGTTTTCTTCCACGGCCCATTGTCTGATAGAATTATTGTGTGCAGGGAAGACCGATTTTTTTTTTTATAAAAGCACCCTGAAATCAGAAATGCATTAATCTAGCATGCTATTTTTGAAGATGGTAAACCTTAGCGATATAAAGTCAATTTAAGTTTCCACCTGTATAGTTTGCCTTTTCATTGTCTCCATAAAAGCAATCATAAAGCACAAACCACAAGGACAATAATGTTTTTGCAGTGAATAGAGATTTGATGAACTAAAGAAACTATCACTTTTGATGGAGCCTTTCCCGGCCGGCTGTTTGTGGAATGAGCTGAAATTCTCAGCGCTGCGGCTAATAGAGTCGGTGATGCATTTAGCGTGTGGGTGAAGCAAGAATGAAGTGAGGGCTTGCAAAGGCCACTGGAAACTTGCCCAGCCTCTGAACTAGAGGATTTCTAGCTCTCCAGGGGCGTTTTGGTGCCGGGGCTGGGAAAGTAGAGTAACTGCACGTTGTCATCCTCCGGAGCAGCCCCTGGAACTGTGCAGACACCACCGCAGCCTTTCCCGCTGTCAAGAGGGGAGCCGACACAGGAACATCGGGATTCCCCGAGGCCCACCAGGGATCTGCCTTCCAGGCGGACGTGCCATAAGGACACTAACAGTACGCAAGTGTCTGCACCCTCTTTGATGGGGCTCAAGAGAGACTAGAATAACTCCCCAATTCAAGGTTCTTCAAATGCTGGTTCCTTTCTACATTTTTGACCTTAATCTTTCACTATTTCATGATTTTTTAAAAAAGGTTTCTGCTCTTACCATGCACAGAATATGGGTCTGTCTGTTGTTCTCCAAAGCCTTCCCTCTGCCACAACCACGTTCCCTTCTCATCTGCCTCCTTCTCGGGCCAAGTCTGGCTCTGAGTGGCATCCAATTCAACTCGAGCTGGCTCCCCGCTGACACTCTCACCCGGTGCCCTCAGAGACTGCTCTCAGTGAGGAGCCCCAGTGAGCCCTCACTGCCTCTTACGTGATGTTGAGCATATGCTACTTTGAACTGATTTTAACTTTCATGCTCTAGACTTGTCTTGTCAATTAGATGGCACATTCCTCAAAAGGCAAGTGTCAGAAGATAGTCAAATAAACAACAGCGCAAGCATATTCTTACACTCTTAATCTCTCCCCTAGCACAGCATCACATGTAGTGGGAGCTTAATGAACTTCCGTGATTATTTTGTTAAAGGGGATGATGACGACAAAATTCTATTCTCTAGAGATGGTGTGGTCAAGAGAGTTCAAGTTTCTCAACTCTTTCAGTTTGTCCATCTCCGAAATCTGACGCGGGGCAGCTCCAGGCTTCAATGAAGGCTCCGTAAGCAACAGAGAGCTCTGGTCAATGGCTCTGACCCCCGGGTTTAAGCAGGAGTCACACATGAGCGGGCCTGTTCCACAACCTTGTGTCAACCGAAATGTGAAGGTAGAGAGATCCACCTTCTGGACTTTGCCTGAGGAGCCATCACCATCTCCATGCTGTTCATCGTTACAGGGGGCAAAGGAGCAGGCACAGGTATGGCTCACTGGGCAGCTTCCACTCTCCTCACCTTTTCAGGTAAATGGGTGGAGCTTATGCACAGGATGCTTGCAACTGATTGCTGCCTACAAGTGCAGAGCAGAGCAAAGGAAGGTCATGTTCAGATGAGGCCCCTGGGTGCCAGGTCTAGGAAGGCAGCCATCCAAGGCAGGGGCAGGGCTATGTGTGTGTGCACATGCGCGTGAATACACCTGCCCCTTGGCAGAGGCTGTTTTGGGGGCCTAGGCACGGTTCGAATTAAAAAGCTAAATTTATTTTCTTTATTTAGAATTCAATCTCTTTGTCTCATTAGTGCTAATGCTTGTTCTTAGCATGTATATAACACGTTCGGTTCCCAAACACTAATTGTTGTTACTACTGCTAATTAAGTAATTAATAAAACTTGACTGGGAGGTAAATAAATATTAATAGCACCAGTTAGGTGGGAAACACACTCGTTCTCATTCGCAGGAGAAGCTGTGGGGACAGGAGCTTACAACATGTGCATTTGCAAGAAGAAAGCAGACCTGCAAGGAATACTACCAGCAATTTCTAGCAGCAAAGCTGAGAATAACTTGGAAGAGCCTTCAGATGGGTAAAAAAATAAAATAGAAGGAAATAAAGAAATCAATATGCTCTATAGAGAGGTTTTGTACAAGTGCCCATCACTACGACTGAAGGTGGTAGGAGTCCATTAGCAGGAACACAATTTATCGACCTGGAGAACTGTTCGTCGCTTGGCTCATCCAGACCAGCACAGGGCAGAGGGGACGTGGGGGCTTCTGGGGTGTGACACTGGTCTTTCAGCTACTGATAAACACCAGTGAGCGGCACTGAAAACTTCCAGACGTAAAAGAATCACCTATATTGTTCTTTTAAATATTTTTGTTCTCTTCAGTCAGCCATAGACAGTAACTTAGGCCAGACAGCTGTCATCACAGGACACTAATCCAAACCATGCATGTGTGCCCTCGTGCACATTTACAGACAAAAACAGAGAGATGGAAAGAGAGAGAGAAAAACAATTTCTCTGACCTCCGCAGTGCAAGCCGGGCAGCGCAGCAGCTGGCTGGCTGCTTCCCCTGCACCCACCATGGGAACTGCCGTAAAGGAGCACATGGCCTGATTAGGGCGAGTACAACAGCTACTATTTGGACCCTGTCACTTACAGAGGCCAGAACGAGACTACCCTTCTAAGTAAACATTATAATTAAGTGACTCCTCTGTTAGACACTGTTGTTCGGGGCCATGGCTCACAGCAGGCGCAGGACCGCCTGTCCTCTCTCGCAGCCCTGCTTTTCCTGGGACTCCCAAGTGCGTCTCAGGCCTCAAGAGGACCCCATTGAAACTCTAGGGTTGTGTCTTCTGAAATAAAAAGGGAGACACAATATACCAGCGGGAAATAATGCCAAAGACTTGACTTAATTTAATCTCATGTAAGAAAGTATAATGGTCTTGGGTTCAAGAGAACAGCCAGGCCTGTTCTCCTTGCAATCTGTATGTCGCCAGCAACTGGAAACTGAGAGTAAGGAGTTACAGGTGAGTGTGAGGGCAAAATAAACTGAGTAACGGGACACACTGATCCTAAAGGCCTCTGTGCACCTTAATAATCTCAATTCATAACTTCCCTGGACCATGAACACATCCACAGCGCCGCCTGCACTGGGATTGAGATGCGGATTCACTGCTGTACATTCCTGCGGAGAACAGCTGCTCCAGCATCTAGAGCAAAACCATTACCTGGCCCCCTGCTGAGGTAAATTTAAGAACATGCTGATTGCTTCAAAGCAGGATATTCACTGACATTATCACTAGAGGATTGATGAAAACTATTTAAATCTTATTTTTCACGTAAAAATGAAATTACACTGGTAAGCTATTCCAGATGAATCCCTCTGGTTGGGAGGTAAGGGGCCTGGGCTCTGGGCCCATGTGACCTTGAGGAAATAACTTCTGCTGGTGGGGCCTGGTTTCTCCCCTGTAACCTGAGCTACTGCACAAAACCAGGCTTTGGAGAGAAGGAATGTCCCCTCTGCTTCCTGGGACTGCTTGTGAAGTGCCAGCGAATCCTTCCCTGAGCAGACAACACACCCCCAGCCTCTCCTCTGGGGAGCTGCTGTTACAGATACTTCCTTATCTCTTTTGAGGATCCTAAGACTTCTGGAAAAAGAAAAGCCATTTCAGGAAAGGGCTGGCCAATTTCAGACTAACCAAGGATCAAGGACCTCCACATGAACAACTACCATTAAAAGGCAAGGCAGGTCAGTAAGTATGTGAGCCAGTCAGACCAGCTCTAATCAGCAGGAAGTGGTGAGGTTCCGGGCAGACTGCAGAGTGTGAGCCTTCATCCTACAGACATTTGGATTAAACATTTTAAGTCTGGGTGAAGGCGAACCAGTTCATGTAATTAGAGTGAACCGAGCCCATTACCAAAGCTAGTTGGCAATCTCGGGACTGAATGCTCTCTAAGGTCCCCGGCAATTGTGAAATTCTTTGGTCCAAATTAAGATTGATGCTGAGAAAGCGTGACTCCCAATGCACAGCAGCTCTGACTCCCCAAGTGGCAGATCCTGGATGTTCTTGCTGGTGAGGCCTGGTCCTGCTTCCAGGAGTTTTACGAAATCTGTTGGCTACCTTGCTCTTTTGCTTTATTCCCTGTGATCATAACTAATGGGTGGGTTTCAATACATCTGTGGGTTTTCATAGCATCTCCTCTGCCTGCTGAGGTACAGTGGGAAACAAGTGACTGACTGGGATCGTGGAGGCTGAATGGTGCAGAGGGCGAGGGCATGGGATCAGCGCAATCAACTGTGGGCTAAAGCACGGGCTATGCCGCTTCTGCCATTAGAACTGTGGGCAAACTGCTTGCTTAGTCCGATCTCACTGGGCTGCAGAGAGAACAGACTGATTCAGTGCATTTAAAGTGCTGGGCATGGGGTGTGACTCCTTGTCAGTGCACAGTAAACACAGTCGTTCATTTGGAAAATAATATAATAATTAATTCTTCATAATACAAGAATAAACTTGGTGTTTCATGTACTCACAACTATAAACCTACTTTTGCCAAACCCTATATTAACAGACCCTCTTCGAGGAACCAGAAGCTACACACACCATTGCTAGACCAGCGGATAGGAAACACGTAGGGGTTTGAAGTTCTCTCAGTTTCAAGCTACACAATTGTGTTCTGCTTCTACCTGGATGGCTGTATTTCTAGAGTCAGGGTAAGGGAGCATTATTCTATGATGGTGAAGAAAAAAATGCTCTAGAACTATCTGGCTGCCCTAAAGAACATGCAGATTAGTCTGAGGTGTTGATATGCTGAAAAATAGCTGCAGAGAGAATTGCTTTTCTTGTAAGTTTGGTGTCAGTGGTAACACACACACACACACACACACACACACACACACACACACACAACCTGGAGAGTTACATTTTCAGTGAGTGTAACTGACTTAATGAAGATAAAATGTATTGCAGACAAAATAGGGGTTTAGCCCGATTATTGATTTCATTGCACTTGTAGAATTGAACCTATGCTTTGGAGTCATAAATGGAAGTGAGCTGAGTTTATTACTGTCACTTGAGCATTATGGAGCTAAAGGAGGTACAATCTGCTCTCTTAGGGAATCCACAGAGTTTTGAGAGAAATTCAGTTAGTTGACTAGGACAATATTTTACATTTAATAGAAACTGATAAGCCCATGGAAATAATTTTTCCTATTACTATTGTGACGAGAAGCGCACTCTGGGATACTCACCCAGGCCATGCAGGGTATGCCATGAAAACTGCTTGTTTGGGTGCCCAGAGAAGAGCTGACGCCAGGGCAAACTTGCCTTTGTGCCATGACAAGTGACATATTTTAAACCTGAAGAGTTATGACTATAATTTCATCTCCAGGATTGTTTTTGTGACTTGGATAAATCTCTCAAGATTTCTGTTTTGACTGGGTCTTTTTAAGAGGTACATCCTGTTTAGAATTAGTTTTCTCATCTGCATATTGGAGACATTTTATTTCCTATATTGTGCTCTTAATTAAAGAAGCTCTAGTGATTTTTGCTTCGGTTTTACAGTCCCTATAAAAACCGGGAGGCACACGCTTCTGCGGAACATGATTCTTTGGGGACCGCAGGAGCCCTGGCTCTCCTGCTGATGCTGTCTCTGAGGCACGCTCTCTCCCCGTAACTCGCCCTTCTGTGTCTGACTGCTAACTGCGCCAGGTAGATTGGATTTGTGCAGCTGTTTTTTGTGGCTAACCTGAAGAGTCCCACTTCCCTTAATATTGTACCAGACAGTTTCCTTGTCTCCTTCCTGGGGCACCGTTAGAACAGCCAGGCCTGAGCAGTCTTTCAGAGGGTACACATAGTGCTCCCTCGGTCCCCGGGTTTGTAATTAAATGAGCATGGAGTTTCTACCACTGAGAAATTGAAGCCTTTGAAAAAAGAAAGGCATTCACATAGGTTGTGACAGAAAGCGTAAACTGTTCTTCAACATCTGTTTCCCCTCTCCTTCCACAATAATATGTCAGTACATTTTCAGGCGGCACATTTCCAGAATGAAGACTTCATCTCCAGCTTCCTTACATGTGGCTCTGTGGCAAAGGTCTGTTCAAGGAAGTATAAGTAGGGAGATATGAAAGCTTTTGAAAGTCTTTCTTCAAGACAGTTGGTGTGTGCCCTTGACCCTTTTCATTTTTTCCCCCAGCTTTTCTTCCTTCCTGATGGCTGGAATGTGGACGTGATGACTGGAGCCAGAGCAGCTATTTTGGATCATGAAGTAACCTTGGGAATGGAGGCCATAACTCACTGAATAAGAAGATAGAAGGCAGGGATAACGGGGACCCACTGGACTTTATGAAGCAGTGTCACCATACAGCCCTGTACTGCCTACCTGTGGATTTAGATGCGAGAAAGAAAAAACACGGTAGCTTATTTAAGCCACTATCATTTGGGATCTCTGTAATTCAAAATTAAACCTATTTCTAACTTTACATAAATATACTGACATCTCACTACACTATGTAATGTTAATGTACAACCTGAAGCAGTTAAAATCATTTGTAGCAGTAAACATGATATTTTGACAGAAGTAGTTGGGGGAGAAAGTCTAATAAAAATATTATCATCACACTTCTGTAATGTAAATCTAAAATACTATTTATTTAACTATGTCTGTGAGAAATGGTCAACCCCTAATACAATTGTTTTCAACTGAAAAACAAAATGTCTTAAAATATTTTGCTCTCATTGGCCACATCCTCCTGAATAAGATTTAATCTAAGATTTTCTTTTCTAGAGGAAGTCTCCAGCTCACAGAGAAGTGATAGAATAAACAAAATGTGAAGGACCTAGAACAGTGATGGAGAACCTTTTGAGCTCGGCATGTCAGCATTTTGAAAAACCCTAACTTAACTCTGGTGCCGTGTCACATATAGAAATGTTTTGATATTTGCAACCATAGTAAAACAAAAACTTATATTTTTGATATTTATTTTATATATTTAAATGCCATTTAACAAAGAAAAATCAACCAAAAAAATGAGTTCGCGTGTCACCTCTGACACGCGTGTCATAGGTTCGCCATCACTGCCTTAAAGTCTCATGAGTATAACAGGTGTTCACCTGGGCTTCCAGGGCTGGATGCAGACCCAGAAGGTTTTGTGTGACTACACACTGTTATATTTTTGATATTTATTTTATATATTTAAATGCCATTTAACAAAGAAAAATCAACCAAAAAAATGAGTTTGCATGTCACCTCTGATACGCGTGTCATAGGTTCGCCATCAATGACCTAGAACTTAGTCTCTGAGAAGCACTGTGGAAAGAGGTGGGAAAGGGTCAATAGAATTCACCAGCCAATTTGGGGCAATTCCTGTGTTTACCGACTCTGACCCAATAACATTATGTTATATTGTCTGAGGGCAGAAGAGGGGGATAGGAAAGACACAGGCATAGAAATTACCATCTGTTTTTCCCCTAGCTTGATAAAGGGATCATTGACAAATGGAATAACACTTCATTTATTTCATATCTCCACCACTACAGGAACTGCTCTCCATGCTTCCTTCCATAGAGGGACCACAGCAGTTCTGGGAGGTGGGTGTTGCTGCCCCCATTTTACAGAAAAGAAACTGAGGCCCTGAGAAACTAAATAGCTTCCATAACCTCAAAGGTCTCTTGCTAAATGCCTGGCTTCTGTTAATGCTGTCTGTAATAGGCTGTTCATTTTACAGGAATTGGAGGGATCCACCAACTTGCTCACTGTCTGCCCTTGCTAAGTGAAAATGATAGGTCTGCTACTCATCTGGGTACCTGGGAATCTCTCATCTTCAAAAGGCTTCCCATGACTTTACCAAGAGTTTGAATGTTACGATTCTGTTGCTCATTGATGTCACTCCATACACCATCTAATACACACACAATTTCAACCTAAGTGAATAAATAGAAAAGTAGTGCATCTATCAATCACAATTTCCTAGTATGACAAATACGAGTTCCCATCTATTCACATAGGTACTTTGAAAATAATAAAGCCAGAAAGTGACCTACCTTTTGAGTGAGTAGAGCCTGAACAACTTGGTTGGCTACCTTTAAAAAATAAAGAAAAGAGTTGTCAGTATAATCATGCGGCTACACTCATGGACTCTAATTTAGCAGTAAGTTTCCCACAGCTTACTGTCGCTAATTAGCTCCTCATTTGCCTCTGTCCTCTGCTTCCAGGGGACTGATTCTTTTCATAATAAGCCTATCCTTCTAGGTAATAGTTTGTTTTTTCCAAAGGTGACCTTGTTGCTAATTAAGACAGTTATTCTGGAAAGATCATTCATACCTTGATTTTCACATTTCCATATTTGGAAAAATAATATCTTTTCACACGTAAAGACTCCAAGAAGGCTAAAAAATTACAGAGTACAAAAAACAATCCTAATTATCTGTACACAGTGTCTACACTTTGCTGATTTACAAACCTTTGCCTCTCCTTTCTATTCTTTTGCTGTGGGACTATTCCACTACATAGAAGTAAAGGGTGTCCCAAAATTCACGCAAGAAGTAATTTTGATAGAAAACACAGGTTTATAATTAAAAATTGTAAATTTTTTATTGATTCATAAAGTATACAGTATAGGATTATGTATGAAATAGCATATCGGGTAAATGACCTCCACAGCTTTGCTGGCACATACACACTATTATGTTGAAATTTTCCATGACCGTTTTGCATAAATGTGGCTGAATTTCGATGAGGCTCATTTTCATCTTGATGGCTTGGTTAATCGACAAAATTGTCACATTTGGGGTTCAGAAAATCCATGAGTGATTGTTGAGAAACAAATGCATCCACAACGTGTCACTGTTTGGTGCGGATTTTGGGCTGGAGGCATCATTGGACCATTCTTCTTCGAAAATGCGGCTGCTCAGGCAATAACAAAAGAGTGTGTATGTGCCAGCAAAGCCGTGGAGGCCATTTACCCGATATGCTATTCTATACATAACCCTATACTGTATACTTTATGAATCAATAAAAAATTTACAATTTTTAATTATAAACCTGTGTTTTCTATCAAAATTACTTCTTGCGTACACCCTTTACTTGCAGTAGAGATAGACTGAATGGTGGAGAAGAGGGACAACTCATTGGTTCCTGTATACTCTACTTCTTTCCTCCATGTACATTTATGCCATCCATTTGTTGTTGCTACCTGTAATAGTCTGGCAGTTGTTTATTCCAATATCCATTTCCCATTCCTCCTAACTAAAAAGCCCTAATTTTTGACTGGGCATATCAAACTACATTTCCCAGCCCCCTTTGTAACTGCCACTCTGTGACAAACTTCTGGCCAATGAGTTATAAGAAGACTATTTCCCTGGGATTATAGAAAGTCTCTAAGAAGAAGGAGGCTTATCCTTCTTCCTCTTTTTTCTGTCTGGGATATGAAAGTGATGGCTGGAGCTTCAGCAGCCACCTTGACAATGGAAGTCACATATAGTTGGGCAGGAAAATAAAAAACCTGGTCTTGATGATGCATGGAACTGTATTATCTCTGCACTTCTATGTGAGAGGGAAATATAATAGCCTCTGTTATTTTGAGCTACTCCCAACGTAAAACCACATCTTCCTATATAATAAAAGCCTAATATGCTAAGTGGTCGACCGGTCAGCCATTCAACCAATCAAAGCGTAATATGCTAATGATATGCTAAGGCTGCTCAACTGCTTGCTATGACATGCACTGACCACCAGGGGGGCAGACAGTCAACCAGTAGACCAGTCATTATGACGTGCACTGACCACCAGTGTGTAGACGCTCTGACTGGTAGGTTAGCTTGCTGCTGGGGTCCAGCCAATCGGGACTGAGCCAGATGGGCCGGACATGCCCTGGAGCCCTCCTATGGTCCCTCCCCAGCTGGCCGCATCCCTCCCTGGCCCCGATTGTGCACTGGTGGGGTCCCTTGGCCTGGCCTGCACCCTCTCACAATCCAGGACCCCTCGGGGGATGTCGGAGAGCTGGTTTCAGCCTGGTCCCGCAGGCCAGGCCGAGGGACTCCACTGGTGCATGAATTCGTGCACCGAGCCTCTAGTGTAATATATTAACAGAATTCTAATTTTCTTCAGGTATCAGGCAGCTTGGGAAAGTGAGTGAAACTGGGCCCCTCTCAGACCAAGGAGGTGGATCTTGATTAATCTAAGCCAATTTGGTAATCCCATTCCCTTATAATAACTGGCTTAAAAGTGGCCACAATTCTAGCGAAGGGCCACATGTAAAACCAATAACCTCCCTGGTATTTCAAGATCTGGCATTTTCTCCAGATAACCACTCAAAATTTCTACACCTATTTGTACTAAAATTTCTTTTTCTCCTGCATATTTCAAAAGCACTTCACAAAAAAAAATCACTTACTAAACTTCACCATAACCTTGAAGCTTTGTACCTAATATGGCTTCTATTGATAAAATGAAGGTGGACAGGTAAATTATGTGATATTTTTCAGCCACTACATGACCATTTAGTGTGATAACTGAACCTGACAACATTAAAGATCAAGTCAGAACACTTAACTACCCTAGGTATCAGGTACTTCTCTTCACTCATTTCGTCATCCTTCATTTGTTCAATATAAATCTGTAGAGTATTTGCAAAGCTAGATGACTAGGATGTGTGCCTTGGTTTCAGAGGGTGCACAGCTGGTAGGAAGGCAGCAAGAACACAATTATGTCCCAGTGTGATAAGCATATAATCATCTTGGTATTTCTCACATTCAGCCAAAGGCGGAGGCATACACTCATTGTTTTCTCTTGGTAACAGATTTATTTTCAGCCATGCTAAACTGCGTGTGCTTGTATTCCTGTCTAGGATAGTGGGACAGATTGTGGGAAGAATGTTTTCAGGGAGCTTAATTGTTTCTTAACTCAATATTGATAGAACAGCACATTCTTAACAACAGCTTGCTACCAGTAAGTCTCATAGAATATTGAAATATAGGCTGCCATCAGCTCGTAGCTAGGAGGCATTCACACCACAGCAGTACATGACTAGATTACCTATAAATGACTAGTTGAATTGTGTGCACAAGAGGGATTTTTTTCCATCAGAATCCTTTCCAAATTTATGTTTTTGACATTAAGTAAAAAGGACAAGCCTTTTATTGAAACTATAGTTTTGAAGAAAACATATTCTTAGGTATTTCTTTTAGACCAAGTTAAAGAAGCATACCCAAGAACTAGGATAGAACAAAATAAACCATATTTTCCTTAATGGGTACCTTTTCTTTTTCCTTTATCATTTCATTTATACGTGATCACAATGGTGATAAATGCTAGTTAGCTCACACAAATTGACCAAGAGCATAATCTTGAAAATCTTTCAATTTTTAAACATCCATTCCAATTTGTAAGTAACTGAGAAGTTAAAGTCAAACTATATATCTTCTTTATTCTTGGCAAATAAAACACACTGAAGAATTGAACTAGTCACGCTGCTTAAAGAGGGAACAATGTACCAAAGTTAATTCATACCATCAATAATTTAATTCTTTTGGATCTCAAACTTTGGATTTGATTTACCTTCTCATAAAACTGCCCGATATCAATATTTTCTTTTCTTCCACCAATTGGTCCCTCACTTAAACCAGTCTGTGGAACAGTGGCCGCATAAAGCAGCTCTCCACATGATTTACCAGGAGACAGAAATGAATGTCCTAACTGCACCCACCCGCAGGGCAGGGATAAACCCATTTCTTTGCAATCAAGTGTGTTTCCCTCCAGGCTCAACAAACTCTCTCTGACACAGTTCCTCCTGGCCTGTAGTTGGACAATTGTTTGCTCTACCTGAAAATTGAACAAAGATACACGAATGCATTATTTCTTTACCTACTGACACAGGGTTTTACTACCCAGAAGGACTCACAGGCTCGGATGAGTGGGCAGGCGGTACAAGTGCTTTCCTGGGTATTGTCTATGACAGTGATGGCGAACCTTTTGAGCTCGGCGTGTCAGCATTTTGAAAAACCCTAACTTAACTCTGGTGCTGTGTCACATATAGAAATTTTTTGATATTTGCAACCATAGTAAAACAAAGATTTATATTTTTGATATTTATTTTATATATTTAAATGCCATTTAACAAAGAAAAATCAACCAAAAAAATGAGTTTGCGTGTCACTTCTGACACGCGTGTCATAGGTTCGCCATCACTGGTCTATGAAGACAGCGCCTGGGTTTTGTTACTACTTTTAACTGTATAGCTTCCCTGATGCATCAATAGAACCCTGGTCTGGAGCCTGAGCCCTCTAATAGGTTACAAGATGATTCCTGGGATGGCCGGTCCTCATGGCATTACACTTTCTGTGCTTGGGTTGCAAATAATCACACACCCCCAGGCTCAGCTAATGAGAACAAATAACTTTCAGTGTCACCTGACAGCTTTCTTCTGCAAAGAAAGGAAAAACAGCAGCTGGGCTGGCCCAGGGGGATCTGAGATGCCTGAGCAAAGCTGACAGTTCCCAGGCCCAGGGCTTGTTTTACAACCTCCCTCAGGCTCTCTGTGGACAGCACCTTGCTTTGCTCTGGGAGCTGAGCAAGGCTGTGGGTGAGGCAGGGATGCCAAGGAGAGGCCTCAGGTTTCTCAGTAAGATCTCAGACAAGCCAGCTCCCCTGACACCTGCTGGTACACACGGTCAGGTCATTGCTCCTTTGCCCTGTTGCTCCCAGGGGTCAGGATTCCTCCCAGCATTCACCTGGAAGGGGTGGGCAGAGGGAGGAGAAAGCAGGGCAGTGGAGTTGTTATTTCATTGCAAAGCAGTCCCTGAGGCTGAATGACAAGGGTTCTCAGCACTTCAGGAAGATGGCCCAGGGCTGGGGTCAGGGAGGGGGTATGGGGTGGGGAGGTCCTGAGGGGGAGGAAGGCTCTGGCAGTCCTCTCCTCACCTGGTGGTCTCACTGCCATCCTTGCACCTGTGGGTGTGGTGTATCATGTCAAGCCAGGGCCAGGTCAGTGAGGTGATTTAATAATTGGGTGAAAAAGCACAGGCTCTGGAAAACGTGCTTTGGAGAAGGTTTCTATGCTTTTTTGCTTGACCTACTGTCCTGA